ACCATGCGGTGGCCACCATAAATCCAACATTATAATAATAATTTACTTAAAAGAAACATACCCGAAACTTGGTGTTTCAATATATATATATATATATATATATATATATATATATATATATATATATATATATATATATATATATAGGTTATAATATGGATGGTAAGTATTGTGTAGATATAGGAATAAATGCGGACCAAGAGTTTAAAATACATATTCTAATAGAATACGTATCCTGATTGAATACAAATTCTAATAGAATACATATTCTGATTGAATGAACATTTTGAAGAATAACAAAATTTTAACCATGAGTTGAAGAATAACAACATTCTTAAATAATAACCATCTATTATTAATATTATTGAAGAATCTAAGGTCCAAAAATAAACAAAAAAATAATTTTTACTGCCACATTCTATAAAAATACAATGTCATTTTTTTAAAATTTTTTGCCACATTCTATAAGAATACAAGCTTTATAGTAAGTCATTCTTGAAAAAAATCTTTATTCTATAAGAATACAATGTCATTCATGAAAGAATCTTCATTCTCATTCTTGTTTCATGTTGTTATATTTTGACATTTTGGTGTGGGGAATCTCAATTGTCATGAAACTGTCTCTTAATTTCCATCAACCATTGTTGTTCCAAGCAACTTTGCTACATTCTGAGTGATCTTGAAACAAAACACATACAAATAATCAAGTTCAAGAATATAAATGCATACAACTTGTGGCCTCATGGACCAATATTCTCATACACCCGATTCTAAAATTGCAATTTGCATTCAAAATAAACAAATGATCATTTTGTTATGGATTTCCAACTAAAAAAATGAATTCTTAATTTTCAAAATATCAAAAATACTATTACCAGTCGACCAATTGATCAAAACCTTTTTGAAAATCAAAGTAAAATGATAAGCATCGCCCAAAACTATGGATTAGAAACCATCTTATAGAAGTAGAAAAACTCATAAAAATCTCCACCAATGATATATGCTCCATAATCATGTTTTTTTCATTATTGTTTTACATAAAAAAAGAAAAATCAAATTAATGAAAAAGAAAAGTTACTATGGAAGTCAAATAAATATAGCATACAATTCAAGAATAAATCCCATTTTTAAAATTATGGTCGAATTTTGACCTTTAAATCTCAATATAGACTATAGACTCAAAATGAATGAAAACCTTTGCCTCGTTGAATTGTTAAAAACCAAAAAATAAACTGTTCATATAAAAATAATCAAAACACTCCACTATGATTTACTGTCAAAAAGTAAACTAATGAAATTTAACCGAACTTTATAAAAAATAGGGCATTTTATATTTAATCAGACAAATTAAAATTGAAGAAAATCTTAGATCAACTTAAATCCTACCAACACATCAAATTGAATTCCAAAAAGATGAAACTTTAAACTGTATTTGTTAACGGCAAGGAAAATCAGAAATTAAGATAATTGCAAAAAAAAAAATAATAAAGAATTACCTTTTTAGAAGATTAAAGCAGAGAAACTTGAGTGCGTATTGGATTAAACGGCATGCGATTTCATCCTCTTTTTCCTCACTCTGCATCAATTAGATTAAATATCTGCGTATCTGAAATTGAGATTGTATACGAAGAAGATGAAGGAATTGTTTGGTCATCAAGTGGCGGCAAGGCGGAATCCGGTATGCTGGTTGGCTGATGCTAGTCGATGGATCATGAATAAAGAGAGTGGAAAGGCTCGTAAATAAAGTGATTTGTGTTTTAAATAAAGTGATTGCCTAAATTAAAGGGTAGATGATTTAATTAATTATTTATTAAAATTAAATAATACTTAGGCCCATATTAATCCTTACATCCACACAATATTTGTTAATCCACATAACTATTATCATTAATATAAATACATTCAATCTTACATAACTATTCTCAATAAAACACATTCTCACTAATTAAATCGTCTATAAAGTTATTATAAACTTTTTATTATTATTCTCATTCTGTAAGAATTTTGTCATAATGTTTATTGAGCCGTATTATGTCAGAATGAAAACAATGTATGAGAATAAAAATAAAAAAGAATTAGTGAGAATGCATGAAAATGATGATATTTTTGTAAGGTTGAACGAATTTGCATTACTAAACAACTTATTCTCTTATTAATTCTCATAGAATAGCATTGTCCACACGTCCGCACAATAATTGTTCATCCATATTATAACCTAGCCCTATATATATATATATATATATATATATATATATATATATATATATATATATATATATATATATATATATATATATATATATATATATATATATATATATATACACACACACACAATTATGCATGCATAGGTATTTATTTAAAGAATATGCATGTGAGGGATTAACTTGTGGTGTCATAATATATTTAAGAGCATAAAGTTCATTGTCCAAATCTGACTTTTTACGTGAGCTAACTTTATTCTCTGCAACCCACTTCTTGCTTCTATGATAGCTTAGGTCTTCGTTTAAAGATTACAATTTGGTAATGTCAAAGAAGTTTAGTAGATATAAAAATGTTACAAATGTTTCTGTCCTGCTATGAGTCATGCTTGGTCCTGCATACCACCCCCAAACGGATGGCCAATCCGAGGTGGTCAATCGATGCTTGGAAACGTATTTAAGGTGTTTTTGCTGTGAAAAACCCAAGCAATGGTCAAGGTTGTTGACTTGGGCAAAATTTTGGTACAATTCTTCCTACGATTCAGCTACAAAGTGTACCCCATTCCGGGCACTTTATGGTCGAGATCCCCCCACCGATCATCCGGTATGAAGGCCAACAAACCCCCTATTGATTTGGAAGATAGGGATGCTATCTTGGATGACTTGCGGATGAATTTATTGAGGGACCAACAGAAAATGCAACAGCAAACCGATCAGAAAAGGAAAGAAGTGCACTATCAAGAGGGGGAATGGGTCTACTTGAAGTTAAAACCTTACCGCCAACAGAGCTTGGCAAAACGAAAGTTTGAGAAACTATCGGCTCGCTATTACAGCCCTTATCAGATTCAAAAGAAGGTGGGAAAAGTGGCGTACACACTTGAGCTGCCCCCACGGCTCTTATACATCCAACCTTCCACGTGTCACAGTTACGTAGAGCTTACGGGGCTGTGAACAAGCCAAAAGAACTGCATGCCCAACTCAGTAAAGATCTTCAACTGTTGGTACAACCAGAAGCAGTGAAAGGGGTAAGATTGTCCAAGGGGAGCTCAACGAATGAGAGAGAGGTCTTGATTCAATGGCAGGGATTGTCTGAAGCTGAAGCTACTTAGGAGGATTGGGAGAGGATGGACCAACAGTTTCCGGCTTTTCACCTTGAGGACAAGGTGAAACTGTGGGCCACCGGTACTGATAAGCCCCTAGCCCTTCTAGTGTACAAAAGAAGGAACAAGAAGCCCAAGAAGGATGTAGTCCAGTAATCAGTAGAAGTCCATTTTACTTTTTTAAGTTTTTGTCTTTTCTTAATTTATCTAGCTGGTTGTATCCGTTATGGTAGTGGCCTCACCATTTTGTTGATCAGTAGTGAGCGACCACCTTTTTGGTCTGGTCTAGTGTGGTACCCCCCCCCCCCCCCAAACACACACAATACTTAGTCTTATTGTTCTTTCTAGAATATTGTATGAATTTTATCCTTAGAGAGCCCAATCCTCTCGAATGATTGGAACTATCGAAATTTGAGCTTTGCCTTCATCATTCTACTGTTCTATTGCTTGTGTTTGTGGTGTGATTGACTAGGAGCATACCATTTATTAGGGTATTTATATTTTTTATATTTGTATATTTTTTTTATTTCAGCACCATTTATTAGGGTATTTATTATCTGTAGGGAGTTCCTTGTGACGTGAATGACGGGTTTTGGTGTTGACTTTGAGTGAAACTTTCTGAACTTGGAGTGATTTTTTGCAACTTTGGTTCTTTTGTTCTTAGTGCTTATTGACATATATGAGCCACTGATTCCTAAAGAAGAGAAAACGCCAATGGTGACCATTGTTGAGATCTTCATATCATTAAGGCAAGCAATTTTCTCAACTATACTTTTGACTTTCGAGAGTACAATCAATTAGTTTTTGTTCCAAAAGTGATGACAACTGTGATGAATTTAAAGAGAACAACCTGTTAATATATAGAGCTATTAAGACACTATAACATTATGAAGCATTTTGAGCTACAACAATCAGCCCATAAATGTGTCTTATAACACAATACCTAATACCAACAGATGGAATGTACCATGAATTAAACTGGCTTACAAAAAGACAACAATAATAGAAACCATTTCCTTTGGTGGGTTTCCAAATATGATGGACAAATAACTTTCGGTTTACATGTATTTGTCTTTAAAGTAAATAAGACACAAAAACAAGTCAGTCTTTTTGCACTTGCCCCTGAAAGCTCTTAAATCTCAATCAGACTTCTACCACTACTCTTCAACAAATCTACACCATACGTTAAAGCTTCACCTGTATGCAAACATCATATGAAATTCCTTACTTAGCTTTACAATTTCAAAGTATGAAAAGATAATTGCAAAAATTATATATATTTCTACTTTTAGTTGATTAATTTCCCTTTATGGGATAAATGTAACACAACCGACTTTCTATAATTTATTAGTTAAATATTAAAATAAAATCTTATCAACAAACAAAACAAATAAGTCTCAAAATTAATGTTACTAATTATTTTAGAATAATTATTAAAAAGAAAAGAAAATATAGAAATTGAAACCTTATTTTAAGAAGGAAGATTGCATTTATTGAAAAAAAAAACTACAAGAATTCGTGATGTTTATCTTCTTGCCCTTTTGTTAGAAAACAGTAACGATACAAATATTATTACAAACAATAGTCAAATTTACTAGTTATGTAAGAAAACACTGTTTAACAAATTAATAACCATATTTACATATACAACATGGATGACAAATTGATAAGGAAGGAAACTACAGTCTACATACCTTTTCTACAGCCACACTTTTACTGTCAAAGATGAAGTCGTCTCGGGCAGATCTCTAAGTTTCGGGCATGACCAAATATGAAGAGTTTTAAGGCCGGGCAGGTGTTGTAAAACATCTGAAAGTGATTCCACATCCATAAAACCATTTAGTCCTAGAGAAGCTAAAGATGGTGGAAGAAGAAAACATGATGTACTAGTATTGTTCGCATGTTCTGCCACTGCAAATGAAACGACTCCTGAATTTTCTCCATATAAGAGTAGTTGCACGAGCGAGGTTGGAAAATTCAGTGGGCCCCACTCAGACATGGGCTTATTTAAGTATCCGATACCAAGGCTACGTAAATTAGGAGGCCACAAGCCACAAGAAAAGGAGTTGTCCATACTTGGACAATCACGTATAAACAGATCTTCCAAAGATGTGAGACTTTGCAAATGCTCATGAGGAAATGATGTTAGATTCTCACAACCATGGATGTCAAGAGATCTTAGGGAAGACATGGAAAGAATAACAAAACCTCTCTCTGGAATGGGTTCTATGTTATCACAATCACTGATTGAGATTGAGGATAGGAGTTGAACCAATGGTGAGAAGGTCAAAGATGTCATTTTACGACAACAACTTATTACTAACCTCTCCACATGATTTGGACAAATGAGACTCTCTAATGTGTCACAATTACGTACCTCCAACTTCTTTAAACTCCTAAGAACCTTGTATGCCTCAGTTTCTGGTTCCCATAAGTATCTCAATTCATCACATCTATCAATATACAAATCTTCAACGACCCCAAGACGCATTAAATCTTTTTCATCAAGTTGAGCAAGTCCTTTAACATTCAACATTTTCAATGCGATGAGTGATGAAGTGGCACCAACAATGCTTCTCAACACTTGTTCGGAACATCCTTCTACATGTAAAACACGTAGTGATGGTATCAATCCAATTGACACGTGTGCTAGTCTCGGACAACGTTTTATAGATAATTCACGCAGACAAGGAAACTGTCTTATAGTTCCATCGTCATTGCCAACACTAATGAAGCATCCCTTCCATGATTGCATATCATCAAATTTCAAAATTTTAAGTGATGGAAATAAATCAGTAGTTGCAAGTAACTCCAAATGCACAGTCTCCAACTTATTCATCCTTTTAACAAACAATTTCCCAAGTGAAGGTAGATGTCCAAGTGTTGGTAATTCTATACTTCTACAACCACATAATGTAATCTCAGTTAACTGGTCAAATGAGGGATCTCCGACCCAACTAGGAAATCTCATTCCCTTGTAGAAAAAAATCTTCAGGGTTCTCAACTTATGATGAGGTCTTAGCCCTTCAAGTATTTCATATATAATTATCTCATTCCGATAATCATCAAACACATCACTCCATTCCATATCCAAAACATCAAGACCCTCCTTTTCATGTAAGTTGGCATCCTTTGCTTGCCAACGATTTTTCACCTTGTCCAGCCCCATAATAGAAAGTTGGCCTTGAAGATTCCGTAAGTCCTTAAGGTCGGATATTTTGAAGCCGTTATCTCGATCAATAACAACCTTTGGTAGAGTTTGTAGGCCCGTCAAACTACCAATCCCTAAGGGCGTCTTGTTCAACTTTGGAGTACGGCTTATGTCAAGATGTCGCAGGTTTATTAACTTAGCAAAACTTTTAGGCAAGGCTGATAAAACATAACAACCACTAACCAACAAGCTTTGTAGATTATAAAGTTCACTCACTTGTTCAGGTAAGCATGTGATTCTAGTATTAGAAAAATTGAGGTACCGCAAATGCTTGAGATTACCAATGGATTGAGGTATCTTTGTGATATTCCTACTACTTAGGCTGAGCACCCTTAGGAACTGTAGGTCAGGAAGTAATTCAACAAGAAAATTGTCCAATAAGTCATTACTTTTCCAACCAGATGACATTAGTAAGAAAGTCCGCAAGCGTCTGGATCTTTGTAATTCCTTCAGCTTTTTATATGATTCGGCTTGTGGAGATATAAGTGAAAAGTGGCGTAACTTCTCAAATGTTTCATTTGTGTTAGATACATCCATCTCATCATCGGATCTAAAGAAAAACTCTCCTGCAACACTTGTAGCCAAGTCACTTATCAGGTCATGCATTGTAAGTCCTAATTCGTCATTTGTTGAATATTGAAAAAACGATCTTGACTTTAGCTCTTCAAAATACTGATTACCCAATCTCTCTTGGGTCTTGTAGAATATTGATTGGGACAAAAAGCCTTCCGCCATCCACAGTAGGACTAACTTTTTCTTGTCAAACACATAGCCCCTAGGAAATAAGGAGCAGTATGCAAACAACTGCTTCAAATGCTGAGGGAGATGATTGTAGCTTAGTCTTAGAGCTGGAAGAATCTCACTTCCATCCTCTATATCCCATATCTCACTCTTCAACAACTTCTCCCACTCATCACCATTCCTATTTCCCTTCAAAACCCTCCCAAGTGCTTTCAAAGCCAAAGGCAATCTACCACATTTCTGAATCATACCCTCAGCAAGCAACTTAAGTGTTGGATGATTGTCAAAGTTTTTTTCACCCAACGTATGTTGAGCAAATAAAGACAGAGCATCTTCATTTGACAAAACCTCCAAATGGTAATTTTCATTAGAGCCCACCACCGAGGTAATTCGGGTTGTGACAATAACTTTACTTCCAGGTGCACCTACAAGAAGCAGGTTTTGAAGAAGTTCCCACTTACTATGGTCTTCATTCCATACATCATCAAGAACAAGTAGGAACCTCTTGTTTGAGAGTTTTTCTTTGAGGGCAACATGAAGCTGATCAAGATTGGAAAATCGTTTGGCCTCCCCACTTACAGCTTCCAAATCGGACTTGCTGATATTAAATACTACTACATTGCATTTCTCAGTAACGCAAACCCATGCTCTAAGCTCAAAGTGATTCTTCAGTTTCTCCTCGTTGTACAAAACTTTCGCAAGAGTGGTTTTCCCTATCCCACCCTTACCAACTATGGACACAATGCTCACATTTTCAACACTCTGTAACAACTTCCTCATCAATGCCTTTTTATCCCCTGCCCGACCGATTATTAATGACTCTTCTATGGACCAATTATTAACTTCCTCGAACCTTTTCTCTGTTCTATTCGACTCTTCAAGATATACATTCAAACCCAAATTAGTTTCCCCTTCGACCAGAGAATCCAACTTGGTGGTGATCTCGTCTAGCTTAGAACTCATCCGACTGCGGGGAGAAAATTTAGTAAAAGTTGGGAATAACTTCAAAACCTTACTAGTGCTGGTGGTAGCATGAGATTCTTGATTCAACTTGCTTCGCATAGCTTCGGTGGCCAAATCATCGAGTAAGTCGTCTATATCGTAAGCCAAATCATGGAGTGTGTTCACCCACAACTGAATAGATCTGTTTGTTATCTGCTTATTGCATGCATCAACAAGCACAGATTCGATCAGGGGCAAGGCTTTCTTCAATTTCTTCAGCTGAGTGTCGATTCCTTCAGATCGAGCCAGCTTAATCAAGTCTTCAGAGATGAGCTTCTCGCAGAGCAAAGTGATGACGGCGCTAACGATTTCAGCCATTTTGGGGTTTGGAAAAGGAATTATCGTTTTTTTGTTGAGGGTTTTGGCTTGAAAGTAAGGTTAAGCGAAAGGTAGACCGAGGAAGGTTTTGGCCTGAGGGGCTGGTGGGTGTGTAGCCACAGCCAGGTCACCTCCACGTCATAATTGTCACCTTAATTCCCACATTTGTCATTCTTTTATGGTGTGGGAACTCGAAAGTCGAAAGGTAGGTGCCACATTTGTGATTTGTTTTAATTAATTTATATTTGCCCAAGCTCGGGATACCATTGGCCCCGGTATGAGTTTGCGAGCTCAATGTCGAGCGCACATACATCAGCCTAAATACTAATAGAAATCGGTAAAATAATCAAAGTTAGGCATAATTAAAAAAAACATTTATATCTATCCTATCACCTTTTATTTTTTATGACTTTTTTTAATTATTTTGTTATAATTTAATTTATAATTTTAATATTTTTTTCTCAAAACAATTATTTAAATTAATTTTATTATTTAATTAATTAAATTATTTATTTAGGTTTTATTTTTTTATTTTTTTTCCTATTAAATTAAATATATATTTTTTTTGTTTCTGGTTTATTTTTAAATATTTTTACAAATAGACCTCATCATTTATAAAAATGACTATACGATTTTTTTTTATTGTTTAATTTTGGATGATTAAACAGTTATAGACTAATAAAAATATGAAAAAAAAATACAATTTATTTAATACGAAAGGTTTTAAACATGAAAAAAATAAGTTATTTAATTCGAAAACTGTTTTAAACTAATTTGGAACGCAAAAATAAATAAATAAATAAAAGAAAATAACTCATTTAATCTAAAAACATTTATAGACTAATGCCAAACATGAAAAAGATAATTACTAAAAAAGCGTTTAAAAAAAATAAGGAAAATAGTTAAGAGAAAAATTAGCTTTTTTTTTTTAATATGATAATTAAAGTTTAAAAAGCTTGATGATTGTTGTAACTAATTTTTTTTTTAAACTTATAAAAGTATCTTTTAAATTAAAGTGAAAATGTTATTTATAATAAATATAAAAGTTAAAAAATTAATATATATATATATATATATATATATATATATATATATATATATTAGAGGGTGTTTGGGAGTGCTTTTTTAACTAGAAAAGTGTTTTTAGATAAAAGTGTTTATTTGTTTATAGTAGTGGTAAAAAGAGTTTTTTTAAAAATGTTTGGATAAGTTTTTACAGTGAAAAAGTCAATAAGTTAAAAAGTGTTTGGCTTAAAAAGTGTTTTTTGAAGTTATTTTGGCTAAAAAACCATAAGCAGTTTCAAAAAGCCACGTTTTCCATGCTTATTAAAAAGTGTTTATTGAAGCTTATGGAAAAGTCATTCTGAAAAGTGTTTTTAAGTTTGCCAAACACTTTTTTTAGCTTATTAGCTTTTCAAAAAGACAATAAACAAATAAACACTTTTCAACCGCAATCCCAAACACCCCCTTAAAAGCCTAATTGATTTGATTGATATAAGTTTTTACAAGAAAAACTATGCAATCAAAATCCTCTTTGGGGTATTTATAGCACCACTATTTTTAAGTGATTCTTCTTTTCTAATAAAAGAATATTTTTTTTATATGTCTGTCTTATTAGGTTTCTAATTAACGTGATGTTACTTGTCAACCTATTGAATCTTTATTTCAATTTTTAATTTTAAATTTCTCACTCTAATTACATTAAATTAATAAAATCAGAATAAAAATTAAAACAAAATTAGTATCAATTATGAGGTGATATAATTTCTTGTATTTATTTAAATCAACGATTATAATTTTATATACCTAAAAGAATTTCTCTTTATTAATTTTGTAACCGTGGTTCCCACGAATTATCAACTAGTTTTTTTTTTTTTTTTTTTTTGTAAAATAGTAAAATTAAGAGTTTTCATAAAATAAATCATACAAACGGATGCACATGTGGGAGTCTCGTCTGCAATTTCATGTACTCAGCTTCGATTTCGACTGTTGGGTTGCAGATTCGTGGCATCATCTTTTGGCCAACTCTATAACTTTTTTTTTTCATTTTAAGTTGATGAAATTATAGATAACATTTGGCATTTTATCGTTTCCTCTCATCTTAGATTCGGTTTCGTTGCCTTGTTTTACTATTTTTTTATTCCAACGTAAGTTTAACTACAGTGTTATAGTCTAAAATCATACAAGCTACTAGTAAATGCTCATGGGATAACACATAACAGCAAGAAAATTAGAAAATTCAGATAGTATAAAGAACGAAACTGATGATGGCATTGCCATCTGCAGTGGAACAAGTCTTATAGTGCGTTACAAACTAATAAATAAGAGCACACGTTATAAAAAGTTAAATGAAACATCACTTAAAACATTGTTTTGTTCTTCAGTTATCAGAGAGAGTGTGTAACATCCATAAAATTCAAGTTAATTTAAAACTTATTAAATTATTCAAAAACCGATACTTATTACAAACATGTTTTCAACATGGTTTAATATTAGAGTATCCTAGAATCAAATCATAAAAAACATAAGAAGGTGCACGATCACGCATTCGCCTTCCCCCAATCATCAGAAGTACCTGAAACAAAATTAACAACTGTAAGCCCAAAGCTTAGTGAGTTTCCCCAAAATACCAACATCATACAATCATAATCATATCATATAAACAAACAGCATGCATAGTGAGCCATCAGCCTGACTGGACCGCCTCGCAGACCTTTTGTCTATCTGGACCGCTCTCCGAGCCTTCAGCACGTCTGGATCGCCTCTCAGTGCCTTCAACCTATCCGGACAGCTTATCGGGCCTTCGATATGACTAATATGCCCTCCTGGGTCTGTAGTCTATCCGATCCGCCCAAGGTATGTTGGCCTTCAGCACAAAACAGGTCTGCCTCAACTCAATCCCAATCAAACAATCATGTGCACATAAATATCATATGCTAACATATATATAACAGTCAAACTGATCTAACATATCACTAATCATAGTAACATCCTATAACCAGGATACCGAACCAACCGGTCAATAACATAGCGTTATCCTATATACCAGGATACCGACCTAACCGGGCACTAACATAGCATTATGCTATATAATAGGATACCGACCTAACTGGGCACTAGCATAGCATTATCCTATATACCAGGATACCAGCCTAACTAGGTCACTGAGCATATCACAATCCTAACTACCAGGATGCAAATCAATAAGCATATCAAGCAATAAACCCGGATACAAATTCGAAAAGGGCCGACATTGGTGTCTTCGACCTTATTAGTATAGTGAGGACAACTTACCTCACAAGTAGCTCGGAATGATAATGTCAAACTCCTCCAAATACAGCCCCAACTCCAACACCTACATCCACCAATAACCCACTTCCATAAATTCCCAAATTACTAAAATACCTCCAGAAGTCAAACTGGTCAACCCTTGGTCAAAGTCAACAGTCAACAGTCAAAGTCAGCAGTTCATGTTGACCCAACTCGTCGAGTGCAGTTCACTGACTCGTTGAGTCCTTCCATAACTTGAGAAATCATGAAAACCCTAGCTGACTTGTCGAGTTTCCAGACAACTTGTCAAGTCCATGCGTATCCAAATGTCAGGAAAACCCTAACTGACTCGTCGATTTGTCTCACTGACTCGTCAAGTCCATCCTGACCCCACCACGGCCAATTTTCATCCGACCCGTCGAGTTGACCATGTAACTCGTTGAGTCCCTTCAGTATATTTCTCATTCAGATGGTTTTAAGCTACCCCAAAGCTCCAATTTGTAGATCTAACTTCTTGGGGCATGGTTTCTACATAAAGTTGCAAAACTTTACGTACATGCGTGATCCTAAATGCCAAAACCAAGCTAAGATAAAGGTTTAAACCAAGAAGAAGAACCAAAGCTTGCTAAATTTGATACCTTTATGACTATAGGGACTTAGAGGAGTCCAGATCTGAAGTTACAACTTTAGATCATGTCCAATACCCGAAATAACCCACAACCAACTAGAAAATGGCCATAAACCTTTACATGAAGAGATCAAGCTAAAGATAAGTCAAGGTAATGACTTGTTACCTTCAAAATGATGCCAAGATGAAGTAGAGTTAGATCCACAAGCTTCTCTTTGCTCCAAGCTCCTTACACTTCAACCCTTCTTCACAAAAACCATCGTCCAAGCTTCTTTACACACAAAATGGAGAGTAAGCGAGATTAGGTTTTTCTAAGCTCAATAGGGGTGGTAAGGGAGGCTGAGGAAGGCTAATGACCCTTAAAATAGGGTGCAAAACCCTAGAAATTAGGGTTTCATTATCTAGCTCCTACTCGTCGAGTTGGGGTCCTCTAACTCGTCAAGTAGACCCCTTAAATGCACGTGGTCTGAATCATTTCTACACGATGACTTGGGACATCCAACTCGTCGAGTAGGTCTAAGAACATGACTATAAACTTTAAATATTATACATGGGAGTCGGGATGTTATAATTCTCCCACAAATAACATAACTAACAATTACATCCATTTCAATATTGATTATAATAGAAACAAACAAAACATCAATTTTCACATTTGACATTGAAAGGATATATAAATAAGACAAAATCAAAATTTATTTTATTTATAAAATGCGGAAAAACTTGTCCTTACAACGCAATTCAAATGAAAACTATGCTATCACATATTCCTAATCAATCTATCATAACTCTCTAAGTAGCAACTCAAAAATCCGATCATCGAACCATGCGATCGAAATCCATTTCTTCGCAATCAGATTCAGCTCACTCATCCTTTAAGTTTCCTTTCTCTTCTTCGACCCTACTAAACATCAAAATACAATCTTATCACATCATGTATTAAGAATCTACATAACAGAAACTTAATAGAGTTAGATAGTGGATTTTACCTGAAGCAGAGTCACACAACTTGACTGTCCCATCTTCGCGATCTCCCAGGTAAATATGGCAGCTTCACATCCAATGCCCCTTCTCTTGGCAGTAGAAACATATGGACTCTTCT